CGCTCTTCCTCTGCCTTGCGCTCAGGTGCAGCTACACGGGGGCTAAGGACCTGCAGCCCTCTCCTTGTAGCATCCTCTGAATGGCTCGTGGCTTGGACCATAATCTTGAGTATAATTCAGGCAGTGGTGCCGCTCTGATAGCCAGGTGAGGGACTTGTGCTGTTGGACTCCCCAGGAGGCAGACCTGGAGTCCATAAAGGAGCTGAATGGTAAACCTGTCTAGAGGGTTACCTGCAAACGTGGGGGAGAGCGTGGAGATGTGTGGATTTTCTGTGGCCTAGTTCGGGATACTGGAATTGTACCACTTGGGCTCCAATAATTCTTAGAATTGCATCCAGTTCACTTGGTGCAAATATCTAACACTTTGGCCAATTTAAATCTTACTTACATTAGCTTAGTTTAAATTTGGTGTTTAAAGAGCTGTAATTATCTGTCTGCTTTAGAAATTCATAGTGATTTAGTGAGATCAATTTGAAACTGATTTTAATTAAACCAAAGAACCTTTTCCATTTTTACAGACAAGGCCTGTGACTAGCCTTTGTAAATGGCAATAACGTATATCCAGTCTTAGAATGACTTTTTTCTGCATGACTGATTTCTTCTGCTGAAGGAAAATTTAGGCTGTTATTTTGTACATAAACTGAAAGAATTAAATTCTAAAGAACATTTTGTTCAATTTTTGTTCCCTTACTCCAAGAGTGGTTCCTATTTGCTAAGACTTATATTAAATTACTCCCAGTACAGCATTTCACTGTCTTTTTATAGTAGACAGGCTGATGAACTCTGTGACCTTTTTTATTTCTGGTTTCTGTTATGCTTTTTCCTCTGACAAAAGAGAACTTAAGAGACAGCTAGGGTATTCTAATTTATGGTGATAGGAAGCAGAATACAGAAGCTTAACTGCAGTCCCATGGTGAGATGTGCCACTATTCTAGTACGTGGAAAATGTATAAATTGCTTTTGTTGAAGGTTATTTGGAGAAAGTGCAGTGAATGTTGGGAAAAGTCTCCTGGAAAGTTTCAGGTCTAACGCTTAAATTTTTGTGTAGGTTGTCATTGTAGTGAGGTGTGTATGAGACCTTATGTGTTAGGAGTTGCTGAGGTGTTTAGATTATGTGCACACCTCTCAATGTAAAAGTTGATAAAGGGTTACAATTAGAGATGAATATTAAATATATTGCATGTAAAGAAATTTTTTTGCTGAAACTTGTGTTTTTGAAAGAGCTCTGTGTGGGTGATGAGAATATTTCTAACACTGAGATTCTGGCAATCGATTCTGTTTCAGAGAGTAGAGGGCAGCTAATCGAGGGCATAATTCAGCTAGTCACTCTATTCCTTAGAAGGGTGATTCTGGCAAATAGGCCCCGTCAATATGTTTTTGTGTTACAAGCTCTGCACCATCATCCATTTTTGTATTCCCTTTGATTGTGTGCAGGACAGAAGAATGGGATACCTTTTGACTAGCAGTAAATCCATAAGAAACTGAAAGTAGTCACCATGTAATCTTTTACTCTTTTTTTTTTTAATAGAAATGTACAGAAAACAAAGACAAGATACCACATTCTGATCTCCCGCTTTTAATGTTCTTTGTGTTTTTTATCTTGGTTCTTTCTGTTCTGCTCTGTAAGCAGCAAATATACCTTACTTACATAGATGAAAAGATAAATGCGGGGAAATTGAGCTATTGAGCAGAGGCCCTTTCTTAAATATATTAATACTACAGTAATGCTAGCAAGTATATGGTGGCATTAGTTTTCTAGGACTGATGGTCCTGCATGCAAAACTTTACCTTTAACTTCACATTTTGGACAATAGGAGTACAATAAATCTAAATGAAAACTTACAAAATAAAAATATCTCATTAGACTGATAGATCTGCAGCCATGGAGTGTTACAGGGTTGCATCTGTTCTGGAAGCAGAATCTGAAACACTTTTATTAATAAAACATGGATACGAACACAAGAAACTGGACACGAGCAACAACAGATTATGCACAAAATTTCTTTGTCAGTATGTTTCTCATCTTTTTGATGTAGATTCAGTCCTATCTAAGATGTACTTGTAAGTCTGAAAAACACTCTGGATCAGAGAGACTTAAACAAGGTCTGTGCTTTAGTGTGCTGCGAAGTGAATTGAGAATGAAGGAGTGCAGAGCATTGCTATGAATAGAGAAGATGATGTGGTTCATCTTACCCAGGTTTGTGTCCTGATGGATGTGATTATGGTAGTGAGTTCACTTAAAAGCAGGTGCAAACTCTTTAGAAAGTGGATGAATACACACAGTGTTCTCTGGTAACAACTTTTCTCCTCTATCTGCAGTGTAGTCAGTGTCTTTGTTTTGTTGAAATGGAAACCGATGTGCTGTTTGACATTCCTGAAACAATTATTTTCAGATGCTACAATATGTTAAGCCTAGAAAACTGCAGAAACACTTTAATGACTTTCCCCCCCCCCCTCGCTCAGATGGTCAGGAGCCGTTAATGCCTGCAGGCTCTCTTCGTAAAAAGAAACTGGCAAAAAGACCTGGATACATGAGGCCAGAAGCTCAGCGACAGATAGAGTTTCAGTCCCTGGGTGCCTGCAAGCCATTCAACCCAGAAGAGCTCAAACATGGCAGGCAGCACTGTGGAGACTTTGAGAACTGCTCTCTCTGCAGACAATACAAAAATAACTTTGAATTCTTACACTGTAGTTCAGTTGCAAATTGTGCTGTAGTTCCTGCTAATGGGGAAACAGTGTTGGCCGCTACTGGAAATATGCCAGGGAGCTGCAAAAATCTTTCATGTTGGAAGAGTCCACAATCAGAAAACACAGTGATACCGGTTTACCCTGCCGCAGCAACAAGCAAAGGAGATGTTTCTGCTGTATGCTGTACATGGCGGAAGAGCCATGGCGTGAAAGTGAGCGAGCCCCAAAACATGTATGCTTTGGATCAAACGGAAGTGAATAACAACAGTGAATATCAAAACAGAGATGTTGTTTCTCGTTCTGTTGGTGCACATGATAGCTTTAGTTCAAGTTTCAGCTTTATACAGCTCTCCCTGAACTCATCCTCTGGAGTAAGCGATGCTGAAGGCAAGTCAACTGTTGAGGAAGCTGAATACGTTCTGCATCCCAGCATCGCGGGAAATCTGCAGAAGCCAGCAGAGATAGCGCAGACTCATGAGCACTCGAGAGCTTTGCATTGCTTCTCCAGGCCCAGAGAGGATTTGGAGGATGAAAATGAGACCACAGCAAATGATAAACTACAGGACTATGAGACTCTCTCTCTCTCGGATACAGATGCAACATTTTCATATTCTACAGATTCCTCAGATGCAGCATCTGCTGGCTCTTCTGTCACCTCAGGCTATGAAAGTAGCTTTACTGTTAGTGACCATAACTGGGATACTTTGATGAAAAAATACGAACCAGTGCTACAGGACTGCCTGCTTGGCAACCGCAGTACATTAAAGGTTAGTTATTTCACTTCATCTTTGATTCTTCCTCCTGCCTCCAAAACATTTGTATTTATAGTGCCAAAGTCAAAGTTGATGTACGAGTTGGGATATTAATGGTTTTTGTGACATTTGTTCATAGAGGTTTACAGTAGCAATCTGCATGACGAAAGTGAGAGAACTGGTTTCCTTTTCTTTTTGTTTTTTTAAAAAACAGGGGATATTGTTGCAGTACCTCATTCCTGTGTTCTGCTGAAACTGTGATCCTCTCATTTCTAATATGTTACACATCAGTTTCTGAATTCAACAAAAACCATTTTCTTTCACAGGTGGCTGTTTTGTCTGCAGTTTGGAGTATATGTAGTACAAAATTTCGGGGTGGTAAGAACTCCTTTCTTGAAGCACCATGATTTAACAACACTAAACTTTGTAATTGGAAATGTGTAAGTTTAGCCAAAGATTTCTTGGAGTGGGGCACCTGTATGAGAGTAGCCTGTAATCTAATAGAGGGGTACTTTCCCCACACGAAGAAAAATGGGAGTCAAGTTCCTGCTCTAACTCAAACTGGGAATTGAACCTTTTTAGTTCCCCCCTACCCCAGAGGAGTTCAGGGCTGTTGCGTCAGGAGTCTTTCTTTTTGCACATGTATATACCCACATGTATACCTACCACGTTTACAGGCAGTCTCATTCACTGTGTTCTTTGTGGGAGACGGGTGGGGAAACCTTAAGAAAGATCAGTTATGTTTTGTTATACAGTTTTTGGGATGGCGGTGTGGGAATCAGAGGGGAACCATTCTGAGCTTACCTGCGGTAAGGAGCCAAATATTGGCTGTATTGTGCATGCAGGAAACAGTAATCCAGAGATTAATGTGGGCACGACGGATTTAACAGATTTGCTCAAGATGCACTAAGTGGGCAGCAGGTTTTTTTTGATGTGGTGGGTTGTTTTTGGTTTTGTGGGGTTTTGTTTTTTTTTTTTTTGGTCTCTCACTAGTGCCCTGAGTTTCTGTGATGCCTTTCAGAAACCCAGGTTCTGCTGATTTCTCAGCTCAGACATACCTGCACTGTATTGTCTTTAGGCCTGATGAAACAACCTGCTCTGGGGAGGCTTTGCACAATCCTGCTGTCTGGGTAAGACAGAAGATCAAGAAATTTTTATTCTTACTTTACTCTCCATGACACCTGACCTGGGCTTACGATGCTCTCTAATACTTACTTTTCACAGAGGATACATGTAGGACTCAAACTAGATTCTCTTATTTACAGACTTCACACACATTGACATGGAACAGTTTCTTTGGCTTCATGCCTGGAATGACAATGTGCCCATAGTCTGGGATGGTTTGGGAAATTAATTTGCTGCAAATTTGGGAATATATAACATAATCAAAACAGGAAATTTTCTGTCTTTTCAGTATGCTTATTTGATAGGCACAAAAGAAACATTGCTATCTTTACTTTCTGTATTCATTAATTCACTGAATGGAGAATTGGGGATTTGTGCCCCCAGATGTCCTTGCCCTTGGTTAGCCAGTCGTGTATGTTTAATTTGAAGCACCTGCCTATTTTAATGATAATGAGCAAGTCTCAAACTTTTCAGAAAGGAACAAAGGCAACTGTAGTCAAGAAAAGGAGACAATACCAATGTTGTTAAAATTATGCTTTTTCTGTACTTACTAAAAAAAAAAGTGGTCATCACACAGTAGAGATACAGAACATGCCACGCTGAAGCAGCTCTTTCATTAGTTGAGCTCTAAGCATCTTACCAGCCTGCAAATAGAAAGCACTTTACTGTGGCAGCATCAGTCAGTTTGCTGTGGGCTTGCCTGGGCTGTGGTACCCAAGCAGACTATAAATGACCTGCCACTGTGAGCGCATGATGGGATAAACACTGCAAACAGCAGCAAAGCTGTACTCTCGGTATAGATGGTTGTTATACATCATATATATGAAAAAAGTGTCATTTGAACCATTCCTACTGCAGGCTTCTTTAAAACTCTATCAAAAGTATGGCATAAAATACAAAAAATAATTTATGGTGAGGATTCAGAGCTCCTCCCTTCAATATGTTTCACATTCCTCACCAGCCTCGGAGAAAAAAGATTGGACTTTCAGGATGTGGAAAAACAAAATAAAATAAAGCCTGGAGAGAAAGGGAATATATATAACGTTGTTTTTTGTTTTTCCTGAAGGGCATCCTGTAGCCTACTATTAATCAAGCATTTTTTTATTCTTTTATTTTTTTATAGTTCTTTTCTGACTAGTCCACTTTCACATACCGTATTTAGAAGGGATACCATTAATTTAAATGTCTTGCCTAATTTGTGTGTTGATTGTGTAGTCATGATAACTGAGTGTTTCTATTAAGTTGTTGACTGGGTGTACCTATTTTTCTCTATGCAATTTAGAGTTTAAAGATAGGGATTTAAATATGAAAGAGTTTCAGGGAGGAGTGAAATCTTTTGTAACTGCAGAATGTCTAAAGTATGGATTTTCTTGTGTTGGAAAATGCTTTCCCAAGCACTTTCAGGCTTTGGGCTATAAGAATATATGCTGCTTCTTTTTTAAGGCCTACCTTTTTCAGTGCTGATAATAGCTTATTTGGTACAGGTCATGTATAAATTTAATAAGAAAACACTTTTCAATCTTGTTACTGTAGCCATGTTAGGTTGTGGCTGGCATGGCAATGAGGAGAGGACTGCCTACCTTCTAACCAAATTCTTCTAACAGTAAAAACTTGTAATGGCCTTTGAACACACACCTGGCCGTATGAATTTTTAGTAAATTCAGAACTTTGGTTCAGACCCTTCATGTTAACAAAGAGAAGCAGTAACTTTTGAAATAAAACTTGCATTACGGTAAGAGTTTCTTTTTGGGTGTGAAAGAGCACTCTCTGTGGTATAGGTGTCTTTGGTGTTTTGCTTTTTTCCGCATCTAGCATATGCAATGTGAACATTTCTGAAAATGCAAATGTCAATGTTATGTAGATGAGCCTAAATTATATTTTAATGAAACTTCATTGGCTGCATATGAACACAATTTTCTGTGCCATAAGATGAGTATACTTGTTCCAAAATATTCATACTGTATTTCTTTTTTTACTTACAGAAGAAAATGTGGTTTGCATATGGAAATTCTGGATTTGTTCTGTGCAAAACTCACAGGCAAAAAATTGTTAGAATGGGCTCAAGAACACACTTTTGAGAACAATATGATCAGGGGTAGATGTCATGCTGACAGAATCCTCTAATAATCCTTACTTTGATGTGTTCAAAGGGTGAAAAATATCCTATGATCACATGATCTCTTGTGCTTTTCAAGAAATATTGTTTGTTATTCTCTGTATGTGTTTGGACAAAAGCCATGCTTGGCTCAAGTAGCTGCAGTTCAGCTGACTTCCAAATAGGTCTGTCCACTTAATAAATGTTGGGCTTAACTCTCAAAATTGGGCCATTCTAGTGATGTAGTAATCCATTAAATTTATATTATGTAGAGGTTAATAGTCTAAATAGTTTTAAATGCAACTTCTTCATAATTAACTTTTTTCTCTTTGCATAGATAAAATCCTTGATCTTACGTCTTCAGAGGCTTCAGGAAAAAGCAATAGAGGAAGATGACTATGATAGAGGTGAGAGTTGCTCCCCCTTGCCCCCCACTGGATCATGCTGCTTTTTTTTTCTTCCTTCTCCTTCCTTCCTCTATTAATTTTATTTTATATTTGCTATATAGCAATGGTTAGGTGTGGAAGACTAGTTCAATGAACTGTATTGTTTATTCTGTCATATGGCAGGAAACAAATTAAAAAAAGAAGTAGGTCAGCAGCAGGTAGCAACAGTTTTTATTTTCTTGAGCCACATCACCATGTGGGAAGGTTGAAATCCGAATATCCACCATCTGGATCAGCTGTTTTGAAGCAGCACGACTTTAAAAAATGCAAAAATGAATGAAAGCTTTGAAGGGAGAAAGGACAGGCACTGGCTGCTGACAAGAGTATGATTTGTGGCTTACCACATTTAGTCATGACACTACAGCAGGGCTCAAACACAGAAATGAGGTCAGTAGCTATTATAAAAGTGAATGATACTGTCCTGTGGGATTAACTTGATGTCCACTGAGTTCAATCAAAACCAGCTAGAGAACATGATGGTGATACAGCTGCTGGCAAATACCTGTATTTGAATAGTGCTTTTCCTTTCAAATGCCTTGGCACTTCTGATAAGCTCTGTGTGTGCGGACGTTAATAATTAGAGCATCTATTAATATACATCTTGGGTTTCGTATTGTTTCCTGTTATGGTAGTCTGTTCAGGTACTCATATTTTGATAGTTTTGAGGTTCTAGATTAAATTCTTCCTGCTAGATCTATCTTCAGTTGGGAAGCCCTGCAAATGTTCCAGTAAAATCTGCATGGGTACTTCAGAGAATAAGGCTGGAAAAAAATAGTTCCTTTCCTGCCACTTTTTTATTCTCAGCTTTTTAGGGGCTGGGGAGTGGTCAGACTCGTGGTTTGCCTTTCAAAATTAATGTGTGAAGCTTTGCAGTTGTACCATGGTTCTGTTTTCCTGCCCCTGAACATGTTCCCCAAGATGTTTAACATGTGTTTTAATAGTGTCTAGGGAGTAGATGTGTAGCCCTTTTGCAGGAGTGATTCTGTTGGCCTCTTAAGGGCTCACCTATATATAGGAGAAAAGTCTGCTACTGTCACAAGTCATTCTTTTAATGTGGCATCTCCCAGCGGGGAAAACCTTTACGTATTTTAAAAGCTGAGGATGTTGTAGATATTCATGGGTTTAATCTCTGTCAAATAGACATTATTGATGTGTATGCTTTACATGTGTAACACTCATAACTCTTCTTTTTTAAGTGCCTGTGGGTTGAGTTCCCAGTTGGATACTTCCCGACAGCTGTGTACTCAGTGCGTGTGGTTCCCACAGACTCCAGCTGGGATTCTCTGGGCAGTCAGCCGCTCTAACAGCAGTATTTTAGTATATCAGGTATGACATCTGCATGTGATGTCATATAGTCGTTGACCACAGTGGAAAATGATGACTTGTCTAACTTTGCACAGAAAGCTCTTCTGTAGTTTTCATGAGTGCTAGTCTTGTGTCTTCAAAATAGAACCATCTTTCTGTTGACCATCATTTTTATCAATTACCTTTTTTGGTTTCCACCCTAGTTATCAGGCAGATAGCACGGAGGGTGGTTTGCAGAGTCTTGCATTAATTCCCCTCAGGAAAATGGTCTGGCTGAAATGTGATTTCACCAGGTGTGGTGGACACAGCTTACAGAGAGCAAAATTGGCAGCAGTCCAAAGGTGGAGAGGAGCATCCACAAGTGGGATTGCTGTTTTCTGTGCTAAGTCTGGCATATATAGGCAGAAAGCATTTGTCCTGATACGGGACTAGATACTGAGGTGCTTGAGAGACTTTGCCTTGGGTTCCTCCATCCCTTTGAAATCCATTTTCACACAAGTGTTTTCAGAAAATGCCACACTCCTTTGTGATACGTGACCATGCATCCTTAATTTTATCAGTTCCTAATTTTTGGGTCCTTGACCCACTTTCTGTCATACTGGTCTTTGTTCCTCTTCTGATACAACTGTAAGCCAGGGGTTTTTTTGTGACTACTTTTCATTATTTTCATGGTATCTGAACTGGCTTCCTTAGTTTTTCTTTTGTGTAACACAGGCAGCATATCTCCAGGGAAAATTCACATGGAGAAGGTGCAGTGCTGCAAGAAGAATTAGAGGTGTCACCTTCCCTCCTCTTCTTGCAGTGGCAACTTTCCACCTTTGCTTTTAGAGCTACGTCGCTGCTCTTGGTGGAGAGCAAAGTCTTGCCTGGCGTGAAGTTTGAAAGCTTATTAAAGAGCTTACAGATTGGCCCAGTACCAATTTCTGTTCAAGTGAAGTCTATAATTAGCTTTCTTTAAAAGGGATATTATTGCCAAATATTGCTAGCAGGGAATGGAATTGCTAAATGTGCAGAGACCTGTGATGTGGGGCATAAATGGAAATATATTATCAGGGAGCGGGAGAAAACGACATGATGTATGTGGAGGGCTGAGGACATTTTAACTATAATGCTAAAAGGAAAATTGCTGTCCCTGTAACTTGTGGGATGACTTTGAGTATAGAGCGAGTCCTGTGTTAAAAGCAAACTGTTCTGAAGTGGAGATTGTGGTGGTGCTGTGTGTGGTGGTAGCACGGGTCTTGCTGATTTGGGAATGCTGCAGGGGAAGGGGAGATTTAGTGTGATATGAGTAGCTGTGAAATGCCCTGTACGTGGAAGAGGTGAGTAGAGGGGAAGGAGAACAGGTGGAGGTGGGGTATGGGTGGCTATGCCCCCAAATGGAAAACGAAATTGTCAATAAATACATTATCGTGTGTAACTATGTTATCGCTTCAGTGGTAGAGGCTCTTCTCCAACTTCAACCATAGACAAGAACTCAAAGAGATTTTCTGACGTCAGCTCTCTGAGCCATCCAGTCTTGCAGGAGAGGGCTCGGTTTTTAACAGCAGTTCAGCGGGAGGAAGATGTGTTAGCACTTAAAACTCCTCAAATTGCTCAGGACTGGTTTCTGCTGTCTGACACTGCAAACTTAGAAACTTAAGGAAAGGCAGGCATCTACTGTCCGACATTGCTCGTGCTCTACAACTACCTGAAAGGAGGTTGTAGCGAGGTGGGGGTTGGTCTCTTCTGCCAAGTAACTAGTGATAGGACGAGAGGAAATGGCCTCAAGTTGCGCCAGGGGAGGTTTAGACTGGACATTAGGAAAAACTACTGAAGGAGTGGTCAGGCCTTGGAACAGGCTGCCCAGGGAAGTGGTGGAGTCACCATCCCTGGAAGTATTTAAAAGATGTGTAGATGAGGCGCTTAGGGACATGGTTTAGTGGGCATGGTGGTGTTGGGTTAACGGTTGGACTTGATGATCTTAGAGGTCTTTTCCAACCTTAATGATTGTATGATTCTGTGATTCTATAGTTTATAGTAACTTTTGAAACTGAAGTGTAAGTAAAGTGGTGCCCCTACAGAGTGGGGGAAGTGATGCACTGTGTTTTCGGTTGTGGCAATGAGACTAGGAAATGGCACAGATATAAAGGCAAGTTTTTCCCACTACAAAGCCTTGAACAAATACCTTATTGCAAATAGGTCAGGAATAAGGATATATTTGTTTTTCCCCTTTGCAGAAACAGAACAGATGCTTGCTGCTTGGGTCTGTTAGAGAACATGTGTGTTTTCCAGGTTCATGTTAATGAATTAGCATTTATTTCCTGAACAGATAATGATTTTTTTTTTTTAAGGGATATTTAGAACCACAACCCTCCATTGTTGTTTAGGAGAGAAGTGAATGCCTGTTTAAATCTTCAGCTTGTTTCTTCCTATTTTTTCCTTTCTTTAGATGAATCTGTTTGCTCTGTCTTCCTGCTCCCCTTGAGCTTGGGAGGTGGACAGCAGAAATGGCTTTTGCCGTTGCTTGTTTACCTATGCTGTGCCTTCTTAAAGAACTGCTTTGGCACGGTTAGGGTGTTGGTGTAGAGGAGCTTCAGTCAGTCATTCAACTACAGTTTCTTCCTGTACTTTCTGGCAGTGCCATGTGTATGGGGGTGTATGTTTGTTCTGAGAGCGTTGGGGGGGCTGCTTGGGGCAGAGGCTGCCATCCCGTCCCATGTTTGTGCTCATCTGCTAGAGGTCACCAAGCACAGTGCTGTGAGACCTGCAGGGTGCTCTCTCTTCATACTGTAGCAACCATGGGTTGTTTCAAATGCAGATGTTCCTCGGCTGTGAAATGTTTGTGTGAAATGCATATTCAGTGAGACAAGAATCCTTCTCAGTCCTGGTTTAATTTTAAAGAGGAACCATTAGGATGTTACATGTTTTATTGCTTGTTCAGTTTGGTAGGTGATGAAATACCAGGAAGTAGCTTATTTTTTCTGTATTTACTTATGGTCTCCTCTTGATGGCCACATTACTGTATATTTTCAAAGCAGGTACGGTACCATGGAATATGATAACAGTGTTTTGCCTTGCGTAGCATATAGGAAAAATTGGTCTGTTCTCCAAGGATCACTTGGAATGTTGTCATGGCTCATTATTCATGATGGAGCTTGACAGCTCCAAGGTTAAACACACTGCTGAATACAGGAGGTAAAAAAGAAAAAAAAAAAAAGCAGCATATTTTTGTGTCTGTGAGAGTTGTGCTTGCAGTGGAAGCAAGTGTATTTTGCTCAGTACAAATCTATTGCCCAAACATTTAAAAACCCTTTTCTTGTTCTTTGCTTCTTGAACTCCTCAACCTTGCTTGGTGCAAGGGGCAAATGGATTGGTAACTAAGTGTCAGGACTGAGTCTTGCTGCCGAACTCCACTAACGGTTCACATGCTATCTTGTTACTCAGAAATAAGTTTCTGCAGAACTACTGATTTTTTTTTTTTTTGATTCATAATTTTGTTTTTTTTTTTTAAATTCTTGTATGTAGGAATGTGAGCGTATGGATTCACGGCTTGGAACTGGTAGGGAACGGTAAATTCCCCGTGCAATCAGATTATATTCAGAGTTAGGGTTCTCCAGTGAAGGTCATTGAGTAGATCAGAGCAAATCCTCATCAGTCCAACATGGCACATAGAATAC